GCAGGAATGAGAACATGACCGGCACCAAATAATCTCACAAGGGGATAATGTACCTGGTGAGTTGTCGCTTCTTCTTCACTATAAGCAGCAGACTGGCAGCATGCAATTTCTTGTCCCAGGGAGCTGGAAGTGTCCTTTCTGCCTTTGAGAGCTAACCATGGGGCTTAGGTAATTCTTTTGGTACAAAAGCCTCCAACAAACTATAATAAAAAAGAAGTAAATCTAGTTCTATATGTACCTACTGGCCATCTTGTGATCTTTATTCCTGTTTCAGCTGATGCTGGAGTTCCCCTGCAAGGAGCAGTACCTTTAATGTGTGGGTGGCAGAGCAGCGCCCGGCTGGACATGCTTTTCTACCACAGCTGATGTTGCGTGTGGCAGCAGGGGCTTCTGCTGCCCAGCAATGGCATCCCCCTGTCATTTTCAGGAGCAGGAAAGTGGACACCTTCAGCTCCTCAGTTTTTAGAAACCCATTGCAGAAAAGTGCAGCTTTGGCATTTTGTTCGCAGTTGTACAAATGGCAGCACCCAGGGCTGGCTGGATAGGGGCTGCGAGTCGCGTAGGTTTTTTTAGACCTGTGTCAACAAAAAAATCCATCCTGCAGTCAATGTGCTTGCACTTACCAGTCCCTAATTTGCTGCTCGCTATGGGCAAATTACAGCTCTTGTGCAACCAGAGCAAAACTCCAGCAGTCCATTTGTAAACGCTGTTGAGGTTTACCAAGTGTTGAGAAGAGCAAGAGAGAGGTTACACTGGGATAAGAGCATGGAGTTGAGCAGTGGGGGTGCAAAGCCAGCAGGCAGTCTAGGAAACACCTGCAGACCCTTTGAGCCTTCCTGGGGCTTACAAAAGCGGAAGCTGACTGTTATAAGCATGTCAACACTCAAACTCTGATAGGAAAGAAATCCTTATTTATATACACATAGGCAAGTGGAAAAAAAAATTAAAGAGAGACCAAAGGTGCGAAGTTAAATATTTAATTGCGAATTGGCCCTAGTTAATTGTCATTAAGCTCCAGCAATTATCAATTAGTTCCGCTAAGGTCACCTGGGCAATCACAGTTTGGCTTCTCTATGCATATGCATTAGCTTGTGCTCATGCATTATCTTTTTCCTTTTATTTTAGACAAACCCCCCAGCTCTATCTGAGGACATGGGAAGAGGGAGCAACCGAAGGCCAGGCAATTACCTACAGGGTTGGGGAGAATCAGCCCATGGCTGTGTCAAGAAGCCTTTTGTGCTACTCTCCGTCCTTCGCTACCCACGCACTGCTCAGGTCCTGGTCTCCCAGTGCGAGCATTAATTTTCCCGGAGGCTTTATGTGGGGCTGCCTGCATGACCATGGGTGGCCCAACCACAGCTTGCTTACAAGCCAGGGGAGCTTTCCCAGTGCCTGCTCTGAAGGCAGCAGATGTTGCTTTTTCAGTGTACTTCTCATGCTGAATTGCAGGTGAGCAGGGCACAGCTTTGCACAGCCACTGAGGATGCTCAGGGCTT